AAAAAAAAAAAAAAAAAAAGATGAAATAGTTAAATGTGGTTAGTGTTGTTTCTGTATCCTCTATTCTGTTCCATTGGTCCTTATGTCTTTGGCTTTGTAATATCAATTGAAATCTGTCACTGTGATTTCTCCTGCTTTGCTCTTGTACCCAGAACTGTTTTTGCTATTCTGAGTCTCTTCTGGTTCCATATGAATTTTAGGATTGTTTTCTTCATTTCTTTGAAGAATGATATTGGTACTTTAATTGAGATTATGTTAAATCTGTTTATCAGTTTTGGAAGTATTGACCTACTACTGAGTTTTAAAACCTCACACAAATGGCCTGGGAAGAAAAATGCCTTATCAGGAAAAAAAAAAAAGAAAATAGGTTGTATACTGGAGGCCCCTGCAGTTGGGTTCCAGTCTCCTGCCTAGTATACAACACAGGCCCAAGAAATCAAACTGAAAGACAGATCTAGGAGAGAAAACGAGGTGCCAGGACAACCAAGGCTGGTGCAACCGACAAAGGCACTGGTCAGTCCAAGCCACTGATTTTTATTGGTAATCATTTGGGGGAAAGGCGAGCTACATACAAGGGCAGTACCACATGCAAGGAGGTACAGTCATGCTGTTTGTATGGAAATTAATGTAAGCAAGGCTCATAAAAGACAAGACAAAGCATTCTCAAATTAGGAACAGAATAGACAAAATATATGGTTGTAATTAGGACATTGTCCTTCTAGTAGGAAAGTTTTAGTTGTGGAAATGGAATTTGGGTGTGAGTTACTCTGAGCTCAACACATAGGCTTCGGCTGGACTCGCTTCTATAAACCAGTTTGGGGGTTAACTCTTGACAGCCAGCTTTGGGCATAAGCGATATTACAGTCCCCTGCAATTGTATATTGATGTTATAATTCACAAAGGAGACTCTTTTTCTTTATGAAGCATTTTTTTCGGTATAAAGTGTTTTGTTTTCCCGTGCTAAAATAAGCTATAAATGCTTCACCTACCAGCTGTCATTCTGTCAGT